TATAGATATAGTCATCATAAAGCCATTATGTTTGTCGAATTACTTAATAAATAAATGAAAAAGAAGAGAATCAATTTTACTGATCTTGAAGACTTAGATGCATTGGGAGATGGATATATACGTAAAAAATAGTTTTAAGATTATGTAAACAAAAAATTGTAAATGGATACTTCAGATATTTCATTTTAAGATTTTATGACAAGTATTCAATAAGATTAATAAAACATTTCATTTTAAAAGTTAAAATAGTCTTTAAAACTTGATGATGCTTCTAATAAATTATTATCAGATATCAATACAGAATTAGCATATGAATAAAGCAAGCCTGAATAAGTATTCAAAAAATATGATGCTAATAGGAATACTAAATTAGAATTAAGAGAATTTTCTGAGTTTCTAGTCTAATTGGTAGGTGATGTAGATTCAAAAATTGTTGAAACTTTATTCTATAAATTGGATGCAAAAGGAGATAATACAATTAATTTATATGAATTTAAGTAAAAGATAACAAAGCAAGAAAGTGATTTATCAGAATAATAATAAACAAATATAAATATAAACAAACTGCATAAACATTCGCAAAATAATTAAGTCCGTAGATCATGAAATCTGTTTTTCGATTAAAAGATGCTCTAAAAGAAAGCAATGAAACCCTTGAAATATTTGATAGAAAAGGAAGAGGATAAATTCTACTAAATGCCTTCCAAGATATAATTGTTAGTTTAAGCTTCGAATTTTCGGAGTTCAAATAATTGGCTCTGTATCTTTAGTCTCCGGATGATAAGAGGTTTCTACAATATGATAAATTAGCAATTTTGATGAACGATTGTGATGAAGCAGAACAATTACTAATTAATCTAAATCAAACTATTTAGTCAGGCAAAGTGGCAACTGCATCATTATTTTATAATTTTGATTAAAATGGAAATGATGTCCTGGATAAATAAGAGTTTTATAAACTTATCAGAGACATTGATCCAATGTCAAGAAATAAACCTGTAGACAATTTATTTTTGCTTCTCGATGCTAATTCTGATGGATCTATTAGTATTAGTAAATTTAAAACAAAAGTTTGTAACAAAGATAAACCTAGAATTATGGCAACAATAAATAAATAGTAATTGAGTATTTTTGATGATGTTATGAAATTTGCTAAAGATTCTACTACTCTATTGGGAGAGTTTGAAATAAGAGATGAAAATTATACAAATAAATTAGATTTAGAAACATTCATAATGGTTATAAAGAAAAATAATGGTCCAAATATTCAATTACTTGAAATGAAGGCATTAGCTGATTAATTAGGTGCACTCTAAGGCAATAATATAAACTATAAGATATTTTGTTTAAAGGCTAAATAGTATTAAGTCGAAACACCCTCAACTAAAATAGAAGTCATAATTACTAAATTAAGAGAATAACTCAAATCCAAAAATACTAACATTATTGAGATTTCTTAAGATTTTGATATCAATCATAAAGGAAAAGCTAAAGTAAAAGCCATTTAAATGGGTTTGTCAGATAAATAAATAGCATTAAATGAAAATGAGTGGGAATTATTACTAACAATTATTGAATAGGATGCGTAAGATTTTATTGATTATTATGCTTTTAATGATTTAATTAATTTAGGATTAGCCAATTATAAGGAAAGTAGAAAGGTCTTAGTAACTAATACTAATTAAGAAATCGATAGAATTGTTAAGAACTTTTCATAATTTTTAGAGTAAGAGGTTTGCACACTATTATCTATGTATAGATAAACTGACAAAGATAAAAATAATTTTATATCTTTTGAAGAATTCACTGCTTTGCTATAAAAAACAATAGGTTACAGCACAACTATAGATATTTAAAAGCAACTTTTTGATATTTTTGATATGGACAAAGATGAAAAAATTAATTTTACTGAATTTGAATATCAAATCTACAAAAGAAATGAAATAGCTGCTAAATAAATTCAAGAAATGAAACTAGTAATGTTAAATGGCCGCAATCCTTAAATGGATCAATAATTATCTGATTTGTTTCTAATCATCTCTTAAGGAAGTTAGTTTATTGAATTTAAACAGTTTGCTAACTATATTAATTATTTTTAAAAATATCCAATGTTAGAATTAGATCAATTTTTTAGATATTTTGATTAAGAATATTCATAAAAAATTAGATTAATTTAGGTTTATCTTAGCATTTAAATAGCAATAAAGATCAGATTAATCCTAATAATAGTAACCACTTCCTTAATAACTTTAAAATCCATAATAATAATCATATCCTTAGTAATAACCTTATCCTTAATAATAGCCATATCCTTAATAATAACCATATCCTTAAGGCATTTAGCAAATACCTCCTAACTACTAATAAACGCCTTAGTTTTAATAAAATGGTCTATAAAATAAATTTGGATAATAGTAATATTTTTAATGGATAACAACCATTATAAAATTTGTAATAACCTTAATAATTTTAATAATATAATCCATTATAAAATTAGTAAGAAGTAGGTAATTCATTTAATGCCTCAATTCCAAACAGTTCAATTGCTTATCCTCCTTAAAATGCATTATATAATTAATAATAATAACCTTAAGAATTTAGAAAAAGCAAGAGTGGGTGCAGAATAATAAATTTGAATAGAGTTGGGTATCATAAGGATAGGACTAATATTCTTAGAAATATGATCCTAATTAAAACAAAGTCGCAAAGCCTTAACAATAATAATCACAAATTCCTATAGAATTCGATCTAAATTTCTATGAACAAGAAATACAAAAAAAATGCATTTCGAAAAATATAGATTTTTTTGATTTGTTATGTTAATGTGATGATACACCTCTTCCAGAATTAAAGATTTCAAAGCCTGACTAATTAGAATTGGCCTTCCAATTCTTAGAAATATTAGCTCCTACTCCTCATGTTCAATAATATTATTATTACTATTCTTAAGGCTAAAATTAAATGGGCATAGTCTTGTCCTATTTAAAAATGAATAATCCTGGAAAGCTTATAGCAAAAGCACTAAACTTCACAATGATGAAGCATAAACAATACACAAAACAATAACTTTGGAATTTGATAGGAGAAAACAAACCTGTTTGGTAAATACCTTAATTAGATAAGATTAATAAAAATTTAAAAATCGGATTGAATGAAAGAGAAATAAGGGAAGCATTTTAATATTGGGATACTGAGTAAAAGGGTTAAATAACTTTCAAGATATACGATGAAATTCTAACACTGAATTAAATAGTGATACCATAAAAGTAAGATGGAACTCAATCTAAAGATCCAGGTTTGTAATCGACATTAGATGCTTTTATTACATTTATCAGAAGTTGTATTAGCTAAAAATTGTTTCAATCTTTACGAATAACAAGATAAAAGAGGATATAATTAAATACCTTATAATGACTTTTTAACTGTAAGTAAAAAACTAATAGGAGCAATATCAGCTGAAGAGATTAAATCAATCAAATAATTATTGTAGTAAAATGGCTATATCAATTTGAGTGATTTAGCTAAATTATTGAATGTTGATAGAAATAAAATTAATTAGTATAGCTAAGAAGACGAGAAAAAATAATTTGGTCTAGCTTAAAAAGATTAAAGAAAATCTGTGTTAAATGCTTAGAATAAAGAAAGATTTAACAAAATATTACCAATTATTAATGAATATTTGAGAAAGCGTAATAAATCTTATGAAGATTTTGGTCTTTACTTCTTTCCACCTAATTCAAATAGCGCTATTGATAGAGCATAATTTACAAAGAAGGCCTTAGATGCTTAATTTGGATTGACTGCTACTTAATGTGAAGAACTGTATGATTATTTGGATGTTAATTCTAGTGGTCATAGATGAATAGGATATTTACAAGTAGAGAAATTTCCAGCATATTTTAAATTGAAATAGACCTATTTTATAAAAAGGCACCATGAGAAAAGTTTACAATACTTCTATTGATTTTCATAGAACCTAACTTATCGGGAAAAGGGTTCTAATAATTTTT